CAACACACAGCTGGAGCGTGTGGGTGGAGCATTGGATCTCGTCAATTGTGAAATCCGTGGGGCAGATGGAGCTCCCCACTGACACTTTGATTGAATAATCTTCATTTTAAAATGAAACTCCTCCCTGCGTATCTGACAAAACAGGAACACCTCGGTTACAACACAGCTGATAAAAACGTTAATGCAGAAAGTCCAGTAAAAGCAACACATTACGCAGATGCTTCTAATGCGCAGGGGCGGAAGAAGAAAAAGCAGTGACCAGGGGTCCCACATACACTGTTGTTTTTCCAGTTTGTTCACCCTCCTGCTACCATGGTACAAGAGCAGCTGTGGGCAGAGTGGACAGAAAATGGTTGTAATTTATTATAATATTATTATATATTTAATTAATACCATTCAAATAATACTAAAAATAAAATTCTATTAAATTTGGGTGCTGGAGGGGCAAATAGAGGGCCTCACTATGGGATCTTTCCTTTTCTTACATTGGCATATGTGAACTCGCCAAACTATTACTTTAAATTTGAATAGTTTTTAGCATTCGATGTGATTGTGAACTCGCCAAACTATTACTTTTGAATAGTTTTTAGCATTCGATGTGATATTTCAGCAACAATTTAGCTTGTTATATCTTTTTACTAGGCCACTCAGTAGCAATTTTGGAATAAATGATGCACAAGCAAAGAAACCACTGGTTTGTAAGTTCATACCCCTGTCGATCTCTCTGCATAGAGTTAGCATGTTCGCGTGTCTGCATTGGTTTGTTTTCCATTGACTGGGATTGGCTGCAGCGCCCCCTGGCAATCCTGGAAAGGAAAAAGTGGTAGATGATGAGTGGATGTCTTCTTACAGATAAAATATTGAATAAAAGTTAGTTGAACAGTACAACTGCTTTAACAAATACCCTTTCCCTGCAAGTTTTCCAGTTTCCGTTGATATACAAAACTGATGGAATGACATCAGGCCTGCTGGATACAGCTATATTAAAAAGGGGAAATGAGAACCATCCGACTGCAACCCATCACAACTTATCAAACAAAAGATTAAGCCAAGTCTTTCAACGGAATTTTGGAATTTTCATCTCTGACTTTCAACTCCCTTTTAGGAATACAACTCCCCTTCCTGACCCTGACACACTCTCTGGCACTCAACTACATCTGCACACTACAAAACACCTTCTAAAATAAGGGGATTGTTCCATCATTTGTATGACAGGCAGATGTGGCTACTTATTTAAAGCACTCATTCAGTCATTACAACAATCTATAGCATTAGGGTCATGCAACAAGACCCGGAGGTTAGATATCATATAATGTGCGTGTCAGCTAAAAGCTGGGCTGATGAGACAAACAGGACATGATGACCCACAGTCGTCCTTGCCTCCCTTTCTGCTCTGTCCTGCGCTGTAGGATGCATCAGCATTTATTCAAGAAACAGAAAAATGTGTCATCATTGCCCAAGGTCTGGAATTCCACTGTAACAAGTAGGCAACAGGTCATGATTAGGGATAAAAACATTTATTTCATTATACTTTATAAAACTTTAATTCATTTCTTAGCATGCATGCTTCAAATGTACATTTACCATTTTCAGGAAAAAGGATGTGTAATGGAGGTATGTGACTGGATGGTGGAGCGCCCACAACGAAAGGCAACATTCGATGGATGAAGACGACACTAGAGTTCATCTGTTGATTGAAATAAATAAGTGCAACAATGGATCATTTGTTTCAGTTACTAACATTGACTTTAAAATTGAACGTGTGTTTGAAGTGATGTGAAATGTGAACTAAAAAAAACCTTTTCCTTGTCAGTTTTTTTTACTATGTTCCACATTTGTTGATATTTTTATACGTCAAATGCATCGGTTTTATACAAGAAATGGAGAAACATTCTTCAGAGAAACTGATGTCCTGACACTTGTGGTGTATTGCCAATCTGACCCAATCTTTGAACCACACTCCCATCAACCCATTTGGGAAACGTGCATATATCTAATTTCAAGATGGCGCCTCTTTAATTCACAAAATCCCACAAGTTTATTATAAGGTGATGTTTTAAATTTAAATGGATTTCATACATAAAGCAGATTATAGCGCACCATTACTTTTTAACGTGGTGATAGTGGTCCAGTGACCGTCAGGTTCCTCGGTTTCTATTATGTCACAATGTTCCTCAAGCTGCCATATCGAAAAGGTAAAGGTTGCACAGTGCTGACTATCTCACAGTTTAAAAAAAAACAAACACCTAAGCTTCAGTGCACGACCTCATCAACATAAAGCTGTAAAAAATAAAAATAAAAATGAAAATAAATCTTTCACATTTCACCCTAGTTGACAGGTAGTGCAGAGCATCCACTCTGCTCGTGTCTCTCCTTGCCTGTTTGACCATCAGCAGTGAAATGGTCGGGATCTGATCCAAATGCAGCACTTACACTAATTGAGTAATGCCTCCCCTCAGAAAAAAACTCATTAAATTCCCAGTACCACTGCGTGTTCCCGGACATAGCTGTTGAAAGGACGCAGTCAGCACAACATACAGAAATGGCCCCGGGTCCTAGGCTGGTGGAAAAGTGGGAGGATGAAATGAAAATGGATATTCTTGATAGTCACCAGATACATCAAAACACTGAGTTGAATACTAAATGTTCATTGGATTAATTAAAAGTTTGAGTTTTATGTTTATAACTCATTAAACGCAGACTGTGTGTAGGGGCTGCGCACCATTTCCACAACACCCGGGGGGGCTGCGCACCATTTCCACAACACCCAATTTGCTGATCCAAGTGAATCCTTCAAGATGTGGATATTTAAAATCTTCAAAATTTAAAAAATAAAATAAAAATGAAATAATTCATTAGTGCTGAACTTTGACAATTTGCATCACAGTTCGGGAAAACACGGCAGAGTCCATTTCTTCCCCACAGAGAGGATTTGAGGGCTCGAGGGCAGTGTGTAGCCGTGACTCGTAGCTGGTGTCGTGCAACCAGGTGCACGGCTGAAGGAGGAGCTCCCTGTCTAGCTCGCAGCCCTGCTCCGTTGCCGACAGGTGCAAGGCAGAGGTGGTGCCCAGCCGGGACAGCAGGTCACAGTCCCAGTCAGACTCGGACGATGCCCCAGAAAGTGCGGCCACGTCTGGTATGAGGGCAGAGTCGATGCACACAGAGGTAGAGAGGGATAGTGAACGCTGAGAGTCCTGGCTGGAGACCCCACTGAGACAGTTTTCATTGGTGGGCTTAACTGGGGGACACATTTTTGAAGTCTTTGATGGAGACAACCCCAACATGTGACTAGGACCTGAAATGTCTGCTGTCTGTGCAGAGGAAGAATATAAAAAAGTCAAATTGGGTTGTGATGTTGAATTCTGCTGAAGGCAGCTCGGCATTGATTTATGAGATGCGTCTTCTAACACTGAACAGGTCCAAAACTTTGTCCTTGTGTCTCTTTCTGGAGCTTTGGAGTCCTGTTGAGTGCAAACAAATTCATCCTTTTTCATTTCAATCCTTCTCCTCTTGTTGTAGATAAAGTCAGGGCTCGCTGATCGCCAGCGTTTTTTGGGGTTTGGCCAAGTTGCCAACTGCTGTGGCAGAGATTGGAATCTATGTGAAGTACCTGAATTGTTGACTTTACCACTGTTAGAACACGATAACAAAAATCCAGCCTGGTTTGACCCTCCCCCTTCTGTATCAGCCACAGAGGAAAGAAGTTGAACAGAGACAGCCGAGATCGGCTCACACAAGTGCTCCACTGTATCCATATCACAGACTCTGTCCACAGTCTGTTCTGCAGTAAATGGCTGTGGACTTAAAACAGGGGGCTCTAAGTGTGAGTTGCCTACATCTTCAGTGCAGCAGGTGTAAGGAACTTGAGGGCTGAGGACTGGAGGTAAAATGTAAGGGTCAGAGGTTGTATGCTGGGACAAAATCTGGCAGACTGAGCTCGTGGCTGGCAGTTCAATATCTAACACAGGCATTATGGGGCTCGAAGAGCGAGGCTCGATGTCAGGGATATTGAGGTCACCGGGTGGTAGGGGCAAATTTGAAATGGAACACTCGTCTTCAAGTGCTGGGTTAGCTGGTCTGAAGCAGAGAGGAGTCTCTGTAGGAGTATTGATTGAGGAACTCTGTCGGCGCAGAGCCAAAACTGCTTGCTCAGTCTCACCGTCAGTGAGAGGCTCCAGTTCACAGACAACCTGAATGGGTATTAGAGTTGGTGGCCTGGAAGGAAAAGCAAAAATTCAATTAAACTTTAACAGGGTTAATGTGTTTAGGTCAAAAGTCACAGGGCAGGGATTGCTACATTTCAGTATTACTGTTAAAATGGAAAAATAAAATTTCCTACCCGCTTAACAAATCCTCTAAGTGTTCAGAAGGATCAGGGTTAAATCCCGGAAACATTTCAGCAACAAGTTGATCAATCACACCGTAGTTGGACTGATCCAGGGCAAATGTTCGGTGCTGCTCAGACTGTAAATGCTATGAGGATGAAAAACAAATGCAATCATACATTTGTAGAAAAACAAAAGAAATTTTGTGATTTATGGTTTTTTTTTACCTCCTCCAGACTAGTGAAGGCCTGGTGACAGCATTCACAGTAGGACGTGTCCTTCCTGCGTGTCCGCCAAGGTGAAGGGTTACAGATGAGTGGGGTTTGGGACTTGTCATTAATGCTGCTTTCAACATATTTCTTCTCCCTAAAGCAACAACAAAAACAAACAAACAAACAAAAAAAACCTCCAGTGTTGTCACTAGATATATTTGTACAGATATAAGGAAACAAAACTATCAAGCACTTTCTTATTTTTACCTCTTGCTTGTTTCTTTCTCTTCTTTTGGTTTTTCAAAGCGAGGAGGGGGAGGAGACTCAAAAGGACTAAATCGACCCAGGTAATAAAGTGAGGGGAAGGTCATAGCCTGCATGTGCAAGGGTTTATATTTCCTGAAAACAAGGAGAGGAAGACAAAAACAATTTTAGAAAAATATTTATTAAGTATATAGATGCCTTTACTGTTACATTTAATACAATTGTAATGTTACCATACAAAAAATGAGATATGATCAAAAATATTAGTTATATATATCTGAAGGTATTCCACAGTAGAAGAATAACTGGTTCAAGCCTTACTTCTAACTGAGCTTCTTTCTGTATGTGGATGAGGGTTAGGATTCCCTGCTTTCCTTTTACAGGCCAAAAACATAGTTTAGCATTTTGGTAAATTATTAACACCAAATTGACCACATGTATTTTTCCTCTTCATGTGGGCCTGTGATGGACTATTGCACTAACAGAATGTACCCTAACGATGACCCTGCACTGGCCTGAGGACTTTTGTGATGAACTGCAGCCCACCCCACCGAACAGGAGTGAAATAACCCAGAAAACAAAACTAAAGTATTACGTTTCAAAGATGAGTATATTTTGAAACATGTAACATATCACCTTATATTCCTGTACTTTAACCATTTGATATTTTCCGAAGGTGAATATAAGATTACACATTTGAGTTCAACTCAGCCTAGCCCCAAACATCCACTGTTTCAGATGACACGGGTTCAGTTACTGCCTGCGCAATAGACAAAGCACTTCAATTAAGTAAAAAGAGAGGGGCAGATGAAAAGACCTGCCAGGGCGTGCACACACATAGATCCCCCGCAGTAAATGACAGTAAAGCGCGGAAAGCCTCATCAGATGGAAAGGGTATCCGTTTAAGCACTCCGCTCCTGGGGAGCACTATAACTGAGGGTGGCTTGTCATATTACATGATGGGAACTCTTAATGGGTTCAATTAAGGAAATCACCTGGGCTGAAATGTAAACCTACAGAGGAAACACCCAGTGGTGTGTGAAGAGCAGTAAGAAACAAACCAAGTCAATGGCGCCAACTGTAGATTGAGGGATTAAACTGCAAAAAGTATTTTTTATTTTGTCTCTGAAGACTGTCGGTATACTTTGTACACCTGCAACAAACAACAACGACGTGAAGGATGAAAACTCACTTGCTCGTGTCTTCTATTTTGAGATATGGAGACCTTAAAGCTGCAGCTGTAGATCAGAAAAGAATCATGAGAAAGATAACAGCAAATCAATAAGGCCTCATTTAACACTTATAAAGGGCTTCCCACAATGCACAACATCAGCAAAAAAAAATAAAATAAATAAAAACCTTTGACATGAGAAATTTGTGGTTGGGAGTTTGTCTTCTGCAATGGAAAACAAAATATGAAATCAATTAAAAATCTTGTCGTTTTCATTTAAATTTATATATAAAATGTATACATATATATACACACACACATATATCTCTTTGCTCTCTCACTTTGTTTTACTAAATTGTATGAAGTATGAAGGATTATTTGTGAAATACTTGCCTCTGGCCTCTTTTGTTTTGTACTGGAGCTCTCTCGATTCACTTGTTTTAGATAGAACAATACGTCTATCACATCATTAAGGAAAAATACCAAAAATGTCAAACAGTTATGTATTGGTTTTTAATCAAGGTGATGAACAGGTAAACTAATTAAACATCAGATAAAAAATCAGTCAAAAATACAAAAGCCAGAATATGCGCATTTGTGGTGCCATCTGCTGTATGAAAAGCTTAACAGCACCATAAAGGTCTGTGGACATGTTGAGCCAGCTACTGTAAAATGTTCACAACTGATTGGTAGTATTTCTGTTTGAATAAAGGATACCATCCACATACAAAATCTTCACTCCCCATAATCGGGCACTTGCCAAAACACTGCTGCCTTGCAGTCGTTCCTACGACACACAACAATCAAAACATACTGCATCATTCAACAATGATAAAAGATTATGCCTTATTATATGTTCCAGTTAGGTCAACTTACGTTGTTACGGATAGCTTTTTCAAGTAGAGCCTTGCCACGGCTACCACAGACCTGCACAGAAAAAATAAATAAATAAATAAATAAATCAAAATTCACCCTAGTCTGTATATTAGTGTCAACATTCAATCAATAGATAGAATTTAATCATTTGTGCAGTATGGTTAAAAATATTTAATAATTATCAAAATCAAGATTACCAACATTTTGAAAATACCTAATACTAGTTGCTACTAGCTTAAAACCATTAAATTGAATTCGGTTTGGTTACTTCAAAAACGGCCAAAAAAAAAACCAAAACACATTTAACGGAAGTTCAGTACCAGGGGTCTTGGAGTTCCTGGTTGCCGTTGTCTTTTTTCACTGCTGAGGACACTGTCTGGTTGCTTAGTATGATTTCGGGCTTCATCTTTCAAAGTCTTTTCTCCTCCTCCTCCTCCTCCTCCTCTGACATCTGTTCTCTTCTCTTTCAGAGCCTCTTGACTCCCAGTAACAACAAAGTTTACATCCTTGTGTAGAAAACTCTCGACTCTCTTTTGTGTGTGGGGGGGAAAAGCAGTTACGTATAAGTTTTTGGCTCTAGTGTGAAAACATTTTTTTGTAAGAAACAATGTGCATTAAATAACATAAATACAATATTTTTTATGAAAACAGAAACAATGCCCATACAGTCATTTAGATTAACCCTAACCCTTTGCCTACCTAATAAAAAACAAGAATATACAGCTTACCCCGCCATGAAGGGATATTGCCTCCAAAAGCAGCACTGTTTGACGTTTCTTCACATTATCCAGGTAGAAAGTCTTCCCATCCAACCACCCGTCGCCAGGACACAGATTTCCCAGAAGGCCTAGCTCCTTTGCACTCGGCTGCTGGTGCATGGTACTGGAGCTTTCAACACCAGGATACCGCCTTAATGTGTGGAGAAAATGCTTTACTTCATATAATTTGAATAATTAAATACTAAAGTTAATTTATCCAACCGCTTATTTGATTTAAAACAAAATACTTAAACGTATTGTCGTAAATGTGTATTTGTTTTGGTCATTATTTCAATACATCAATCAATAGAAGCATCATAGTAGAGAGTTTAAGTTAGTGTCACAGGAATAATTAAAATATGCCACAAAACAAAACGATTCGCCATATTTCGGCAAATAAATATTAGCACAAACGCTACACACCAGCTAACCAACGTAGCTTTGTACTCCTAGCGTTGTCTGACCTTAACTAGCTTCTCGTATTCTTACATTAGGTCGAGGCTACACATTTAGCTTTGTGCTGGTTCATACGTATACTCCATTGTGGAATTAATATGAAACACATGTTTTATAACAATAACTTACACTCATGAACGGCGGTGGAGTGTGGAAATGACAACAGGCTAAAGCTCCTACATGAGTACAGCAGAAAGGCTACCGCCGCTTTTTTAAAAACACAGTGGCGCAGATGTAACGTAACACATTTGTCACTTCCGGTGCATTTGGGTGCACTCCAGAAGCTGCGTCAATAACTAATCTTTGATGACGAGGAATAAGGCGTTACTTTACCCTTGCATGCACAATTCATCTTCTTGATTAAAATGTATAGATTTTCACAGTGTGTACATTACTTTTATGAGTTTTATACCAGATGCTTAACAATCTTTTTTTTTTATAAAAGAAAACATTGAACAGCGGTGTTTAATTTAATGTATGACAGAATACACATAAAGCTTATTTGTATGATTTGTTATTTAAATGGCCATATACAACATCTATATTGTTGTATATTAAATAAATAATCTTTCATTCTATTTTAAATAGAATAAATTTTAAATTTTTGAAACTGCTTATTTTTAGAATGAGGCACTGTATAACCCAAATAATGTAATAATAAAAAAAGATCTGCAAATGTTTTACTGATGCTGTGTAGATTCACAGTGATTATGAACCACATCACCTGCCATGTACTAATTTGTATAAAGTAATCAGAAACCTTTGTTCATCAGTCATTTTGAATCCTTTCAAACTAGAAAATAAATGAAGCTGGTAACCAAATGAGCCCGCAACACAACACAGTCAAATTATTTGTGTATGGACTTTGAATTTCATGTAGAGAATGGAATTTCAGAGGGTGGGGGCAGAGGGGGTTGGGGTGAGGATCAGTTTGTGGTGGAATAAAAGCAAGCGCCAAAACATTTGCAAAGTCATCCATTAGTTTGACTGGATGCACATGACAGTTCTGCTGTCTGTTGGGAACTTTGCTACAAAACCTCAGACTATTTGTCAAAGACAATAAGACAAGGTTGGTGTATTTTAATATTATTAGTCTTTATGTTAATTCTAGTATTTGATTGTGCTTTTCCTCAAATTATATACTGTTTGCTTTCAAACATTCAATAACCACAGCAATTTTCAAAATGGAAAACTGCCCCAGAGACTATGTATTAAAGTTAAATAAGATCCAATTCTGTATTTTCTCTGAATTGCTTCCCGAGTTTGTAATGATAAAGTAACGGAATATTTTACAGTCATTTCTCTGATTTAATTATTTTTTAACTTTTTCCTGGGGTCATTTTACTTTGTTTTATTCAAAATGTATTACTTTTTATATATATTTTTTTATATATTTTTCATTTTTAACAATGGTGGGAGTATAAGGACCACATTGAGAAAAAAACTATAACATAACATAACGTAAAAAGTAATTTTTGTATACTATCTGTGTCATCCAATGCATCACACCTAAGTGTCTAAAGGAAACAACTTATCATCAAATGTTGAATAAACGCTATTTATTAGGAGAAGTTAGCCAGACGATAAGGCATTTCTTCATTGGTGAACCCAATCCTATAGTATAAATGCATGAGATTCTCCACGTTACTCATAGCGGCGCACGTATGGTTAATGCTGTGTGCTTTTCTCTAGTCTCCCTCCGCCAAAACATATCATCTAAACTTTCAACTTTAATCTTGTAAAATTATGACTTTATTCTCAAATACGAACACGTTTTTTCTCATACATTTTTAACACGTCTCTTAATATTCTCAGTGTGGCCCGAATGCTCTATCATACAGTTCAGCTGTTTGATTTGTATTTAATACCCATGGTGATAGAAGACTCAACTTTGTTTTTACTTTTCCTCCATTATAGCGACAACACAAAAACCACAATGTCCAACGACTCAAGTGGGATTCCGTTCCAATGCCAGGGCACCAATCCTACTGCTGTCTCCATTGCGTACACTCTCGGTAGACTTTTGCTTTACATCCCCATTTCCATTTTTGTTGTTTACCTTGGTTATCAGCGGTGGAGACAACAACGTTCCTTTGCAACGACCAGCCACACTGACATATTTGTATATCACAAGTTGGCATTCGACATGTTCAGTAATGTGGGTACATTTCTTTTTAGCTATGGTGTTCTCCTGGAGGTGTCAGAATATATAAAGGCTGGCATCCTTGTGTCATGTTTTGACATACCGTCACAGACACTACTGCACATTCTGACCTGTATAGAACGCTACCTGGCTGTTATCCACCCCGTGACCTATATGAGGCTGAAACAGTCAGGGGGTAGCCGTGTCAGAAACATCAGCCTTGGCTGCGTTTGGCTGCAGTCTTTTTTATGGATCTTTCTATTTTATTATGACTATCCCAACATCCCAGTCATTCCCCATTACTTGATGCTGTCAGTATGCTTCATTATCGTATCTTTCTGCAGCGCTCGTGTTCTCTGGGTTCTGATTCATCCACGGCCGGGCGATGCCCCTGGGGGCAGAGTGAAGGTCGACCAATCAAAGCGAAAGGCATTCAATACAATTGCCATAATCACAGCCACCACATGGCTGCATTTTGTAGGAATTATAGTTTATCTTGTGGGTGAACGTTTAAGTGCACCTAGTAATCAAAGCTGCATTCTCCTGGTCTTTACCCTATGGATCAGTCTGCCGATAAACTTGTTGCTGCCTATTTTCTTTATACATCGATCAGGAATAGTGTCCTGTTGTAATTGAGCGTAATGAAACATAAATAATGTAGGCTCTTATTACGTACGAATTGCTAAACTATTTAACCAATCACTGCTATCAATGCTATGATCTTTGTCATAATAAACGTGTCTTCATGTAGCATAGCAGAGATTGTCCTTAATACTTGATGATATTCACTAGCGTTCTTGGATCTTCTTCGGCCTCTATGACAACCTGATGCTGCTCGCTTGTCTTCCTGAGCAACCTTGTTGACAGCCTAGAAAACGCACATGTTCTGTAAAGGTGTGGATTATTACAAGGATGGATAGCACGACTCAGACAACAGGTTACAGTGGAGCGTCGTCATCGTAGCAGGCACAGACAAACCCACGAACTCTCCTCTCCTCTTCTCCTCAGGTATCAGGAAACGCCAGCTCGTTTAATATTATCCTAGATGGACTCTCCTCCTCAGGTATCAGGAAACGCCAGCTCATAGTGATACCATGGAAACCGAAGTTACCTACAGGCTCTGTTTTTTGTGAATATAAAAAAAAGGGCATTAGACCCATTCAAATTTATAAATAAACACGCCTTATATTTACAACTAACAATTGTAAATAAACTGGGATAAAACGTGATGTCACTAAGAACTAAAAACTGTTTTATAAATGTAAACCAATGCTGGTCTTGTGTGAAGTGATAAACACTCATCTCATAACTTTGGCCTGACTTTGTTCCAAATCTCACACAGCAGGCTTCTGTCTGTCTGTGCCACAGTGAATGCCAGACCTGTGTACACATCTTTTTCCAGATGTTTGTGTGGACTTAGACAAACTGCTTACAGTTTCCTACCGCGCCAGTAAAAGCAACTATTTGAGGCCTGTTCAACAGTTAAAAGAGAAGACAATCAAATGCCTGCAGGATAAAGGCTCCAAGATGTGAATGCTAAAGCTTGCGGTTCTGTCCAAGGCAGGATGAGGAACGCACCACCCAAAATCTTTAATAGCTTAAGCGTAAAGACGCCAGTGTGCTATAAACTTGAAAGGTGATTGTAAAATATTTGTTGTGTGCTGACACTTAATTAAATACACATGGAAAAGGTAAAAAGCTGCCGAGGAAAGGGGAAGACAATGGAAAGACAGAAGTGAAAAACATTTATTTACATTTCATTTTGATTTATTTAGCTCTCAATTGATTAGTGGTTTTGTTAGTTTATACATAAAGTAAAGTCATGTAACGGCTTTTGTTTTATTAAAATGTGGATTGCTTTAAAGCATGAATTTGTATGAACCACTTTGGTCAGATTTCTAAATGTATGTCAGTTTAGCAAAATCTCAGTGTGTGTGTTTGTATTTGGAAGTATGGCAATGTGTTGTAAAAATGTACCTGTACCATTAAAAATATAACTTGGGTCTTACCTTGTTTGGCGTGTTCTTCACCAAAATGTTATCAGGTAGTAAACAGTTCAAGTCCTTCTAAATGTGTATCTGAGCAGCACATTAAAGACATGTTCAAGGTTTCCCTTAAAAGTTTATCAGTTCTGCATCCTCACAGTAATGACAACAAGAACAATTCAATGTCCCTTTTTTTACTGGAAGAAGTAATATATACAGTAAAGTACAAACCAGACGGGCACAAAACCAAACCAGACCAAACCCTGTTGAATAAAGGGGGAGAGAACACACACAATAATTGCAAAAAAGTGCGTACAACTTTAATGGAACTGCATATAAAAGAACTGTACGTCCCTGATGTGTTTAGTCTTAAATTATATATTGACAATTTCTACAACTTTTAGTTAATTCATTATGAAAAAAGGGAAAATCTGGTTGGTACAATTGTCCGTTCCTGAACATCAGACCCACTCAGAATTGTTACAACTGTTCCTGCTGTTAACCTTGTTTGCGTGTGTCATTCCAGCGACCTGTGTGCAGATCTGTGTAAGTTTACTGTTAGCACCGTTGTGGACGGGCGCATGTTCTCTGGCCAAGTTCTCATCATTAATGTTGTACTGCTGACTCCTCTCATGGGCAATGTTCACATGGTTCTGCCTACATGTCATCGTATCATTGGACAGATCGGTGACAGCCAGGGGTTTTTCATGGCTTCTTGAAGACTCCATGGGAAACTTGACTGCGATGTTGTATCGTGGCGGAGCGGACGCAGCCGTGTTCAGAGAAGTGGAGTAGCTGTTGTAATCCTCTTCGCCGAGTTCTGTCACTTTAAAGTCTCCTTGTTGCTGTGTCTGTCCATACGACCCTTCGTCGCGGAGCTGCACCTGACGGTGGCGTACGATATCACAGATGGTTCCAACGCCCAAATGCAGCATCTCCCACACACTGAGTACTAGACAGAGCAGGGAGACGCCATACATAATGAAGAGAAAGATAGTCTTCTCAGTGGGGCGAGACACAAAGCATTCTACAATGATTGGGCAGGGCTGTTCAGAACACAAGTACTTGGGTGATATTGCAAATCCAAAGAGGAAATACTGTCCACCCAGGAACCCCACCTCCAAAGAAGTACGAGCCAAAAGCTGGAAGACGTAAATGCGCATCAGTCCATCTTCTTTGATACGCTTGCGCCCATCATGGCGTGACTTGACCTTTGCCCTTTCTTCACCACTTTTTTTTACGACCTCATCTACCACCTCGTAAATCATAGGGTCTTCTTCTTGGTCGTCCTCAGCCTCTTCAACACCCCGATTCTGCCTTCTGGATAAAAGATTGTGTTTCTTCGATTTTCTCTGCAATAATCCTTTCTCTCCACCGCCCCCTGCTCGCTCGTCCTCACGGGCGATCTTGTTGACGGCGTATCCCAAATACATGAGCGAAGGTGTTGAGATCAGGATGATTTGAAAGACCCAGAAGCGAACATGCGAGAGCGGAGCGAAGGCATCGTAGCAGACGTTCTCGCAACCGGGCTGAGCCGTGTTGCAGACGAACTTGCTCTGTTCGTCGTAGTAGATGGACTCCCCTCCCACAGCCGTCAGAACAATGCGAAACACAATGAGCACAGTGAGCCATAATTTGCCGACAAATGTAGAGTGATTGTGGATTTCTTCCAGCAGTCGAGTCAGGAAACTCCAACTCATGGTAAAGGCATGGAAACCACGGCAACAAGCAACTAACACCTCATTCACCTGTGGCAGGAGCAAATAATTAACATCAGTACTTTGTTGACCACAGATATACTCAATGCCTCAGAAATACATCAACATCACATTTGAAATGTTTTTTATTAAACAAGAGTCACAAGTAGGGATGTCCGATTATATCGGCAGACCGATATTAGCATGTTTTGTAAAATCTCTGACGAGTATGTTCATGGAAGCGACGACAATCTGGCATTACCAGGCACTCAATAGTATTCTAATTCTGTCCACTAGGGGGCAGAACATAATTGAGAAACACTGTTTAACTTCCCCCACTGCCCTGCTATATCGGTAAGGGTTGATATCGGAATCGGAAATTAAGTGTTTGGAGAATATCGGCATATCAGATATCGGAAAAAAGATAATATCGGACATCCCTAGTCACAAGCACATCCAAAACAAAGTTTTATTATAGAAATGTACTTGTTATTTTTGAAAATGACAACCTAATTCTGCGGGAGAACAGATTCCAGACTTTTAGTTTTGTCAAAGTTGTCTGTCCAAGTTCAGAAAGATTACAAAATTCCACACAAAAACACTCAAAGACCAAGTGTGTAAAATGTGTGCTAAAGTTTCAAAGTGTGATTAATGTACTTTCTTAAAAAACAAAACAATAGTTACATTGATAGGAAGATTACAAAATTCCACACAAAAACGTGTGTAAAATATGTGGAGCTAATAAAATATTCTCAGGTTATGTTCTTTTAAATGTTTCAAAGTGTGATCAATGTACTTTCTTTAAAAACAAAACAATAGTTACATTGATAGGGACTGGGAGGGACACTGTTTTTCCACAATTTTTTTCTGTTTTTTGTCTGGAAGCCACAGTATTTGGGTCACTGCCTTTCGCCATATTAAATTCATTCAATCTATTAAAAAATGTGTCTAAACTGTAAATATATTCTATATATATTTGCAATGTTTAAAATGTAAGTTTGGATGTTTTTATGTGTAATAAAGATCGTTTTTACTCTCATCCTGCTCGGTTCCAAACTAAATCAGAATCACAGTCACCATCTGCTCCTTTATTTAGGACACAGCAGACTGTGTTTTAATGTTTAATTACATTAAAAAAATTGAATTTAAGTTAACAGACGTTCTCTTTTTCTGGCTGTACAGTACACTGTTAACTAAAAAGACACAAAATTAAACTTTAATATCGTTGTCCTTACATATACATAGAAATTCCCATGGACTGATTACATTTTTGTTAAGGTAGTTTAAACCTTTGTCCTTGAAACCATTCACAGAACGGTAGTTATTTACTTTATAAACATTACAAATATTGTTTTTTGATAATGTAATGCGTTACAATAATTTGTAAAATGACTTATGGACGTATTAAATGGCAAATGTCACCAACAAAAAACAATTACAGAGAAAATAGAACAAGGGAAAAGAAAGGAAAAGAAATTAAATGAGAAATGAAGTAAAAGCATAACTTACCTGACGTTGTTTTCAGTAGTAAAAATATCCGTTAGTGATGTCAGTGCTGCTGTTTTCTGAACGCCAGGGAAATCAATCAAATGTTTCCAGATTTAAGATTTAAATCAAAAAAGTTAAAAATACAATGCACAAATAAACCACCCCAAGCACACATACACTCATACAATAAGACAACAGAGAGTAAGAGAGAAAAAGGGTGAAAGACAGAGGAAGGGAGAAAGAAAGAGAGCGAGAGAGAGAGAGAGAGAGAAACAGAGGGAGAGAGAGAAACCTGGTGCCAATTAAAAAAAAACCTCCGTTCTCAGGCTCTGGTTGAAGTGAGGATGTAGAGTAGATGTGATTTAGCTGCTGCAGGAATTGTCTGATAAACAATAGCTTTAATCTTAGGGCCATCCCATTAGCATAGAAATGCTATTATGTCAGCTGTGTAAAGTAGTGAAACACACACACAAAAAGAAAAAAGTAACCGAGTGAAACTTGTGTGTGCCAGTGTCTCAGTGGGCTTAATAGCGTCCTTTAGGAAACCAAACTAGTGTTAGTTTTTTGGGTTTTTTTTGTGCACATCCTGCCCACTGCACAAGAAACCATTTTATATCTTTCTGCTGGGACTCATCCTGTTCCCTACTATCAGGACAACAGCCTTTTCCAACCGACCTTTTATACATCCTAACTCTGCCAAGAGATTGTTTAAAAGCGAGGGCTTTGCAACTATGTAGTATAAATAATACACAGCAGCTATTGTCCAAACAAGTTCTCAATCTTTCGTTGTTTTTTTTTTTTCGTTTATTGCAACGTCACTGCACAAAGAGGTTGGTAGCATCAATTGCAACGCAGCCCAAATATTGTGACAGTCTCTTTCCTAAATCACACAAAGGTTTAATGCAAAGGGTTTGATTTGCTGCTACTGTGATTATGGCTCTTAAACAAAGGCTCGTCTGTAAGAGGTTTAATAAAACGCACACAAACCAAATAATGAAACGCGCACACACACGGAGCGAATCTTAGTTAAGCCTGAGATTGAACAGACACCAACACATTGTTTTATCTTTTCCATCAGGCTCTGGATACAAATCATGGCTCTGGAGCAGGTTTTGTCAGTGGCTTTTTCCTTTGTGTTTTTCAGGCTGTGCACAATGTCTGACTTCTACAATCTAAATTTGAAAGTACTGAGCTATTATTTTACACGTTAATGTGGTTGTTAATCTTAAGAACACAAAGATGCATGCCTTTTCTAAGGACAGGTCAAAGAATTACACTTTTATCTCAGCTACTCATCTCAAGGACATTTAACAAACATAAACCGAGAAAGCTCAGCATTCTCTCCTGTAGTTCCTCTCCATCTTTATCTCACTCCTTTTTCCAGGGAGGATTCGGGATTAGCTCAGTCTTTCAATGCCACTGTGTTGAAATAAGGAGCAGTACATTTAAACAAAGCAGCATGGAAACCATTCTAACCCTAATAGGTCTGACTTATGTTTGTCATATGAAGCTTAGATCCAACCTAACTCAGAGTGACCTTACAGGCTTCCTGTCCTTTAATTGAGTTATATTTCACCTCACATATAGTAATTGAATTGCGTAAATCCAATAAGATTATCAATAAGCGCAATCATCAGGCAGCCCGGGCAATTTAAGTCATTTCAACAGTTGGCTGTGTGCTCTTATTGGCTGGAATGGGGATGGGTGAGCCGCAGTTAGATATTGACAGAAAAGAACAACAACAGGCAGACCCTGACGGGTTAGAGATCCTCAAACACGATTTGTCATCATTCTTCGCGGCCTGATGGTAATTGGGTTTTCTATCCAATCACTTACCTCCAGAGGTCATTGAATATTGGGTTAAGGCGACCTGTTTTTCTTTTGCCTATTTATCCACATTAGACACAACACGTACACTTCCCTTAGCAATGTCAGGCTCAATATGAGCAAAACTCACAAATCAATTCCCAACAAAAAGACATTTAGCTGACAGCTGTGGAAGCTGACACACTACAGGTGAAGTGGGCTAACACGAGTGGATGAGAGAGTGGAACAAAAGAAGAGTGCGGTGGGGCAACGGGGGCTTGTTGATGTTTCAATGAAGAGGCTTCACTGGAAAAGAGACTTTAAGAAAGTATTCTCAACTACAATTGATTAAATATATATTTTGACTTCAGGCATGTACTGGCCAGTGTGTCTGTATTTATTGGTGTTGTTATTTTCAGTAGAGAATAAATAAATGTAAAAAAATATATAACGTTTGAATAACCTGGAAAAGATACAGAAGAAGAAAAGGAAATGTCCTGATAAAATGTTTTTACGTGTTAATTATTGAACTAGTACGGCTTTTCCTGATAAAATGTTTTTATGTGTTAATTATTGAACTAGTACGGCTTTAGCGGCAGTAATCTTGCCAGTTGGCAGAAGTTACTGCTTATGTAATTTATTACCAATGCTAAACGAACAGTCTTATGAAACAAAGTAATGACTTCGGTCCTCCTGCAGCCGACGTGTCTGATACTAACAGTTATTCCCAACTACTGTACATGTTGGTGGTGCCATTCTCATGTTCGCCGGAGTGGCGCTGTGGAGGGAGGACATAACAAATAAACAAAAATAAATGTGTACTATGTAACAGGCTGCCCCCAGAAGGGGTCAAGCATGTGGTTGGTGCTAACCGCTATACTATGGAACCGACAATGCCGACTAATTGGTTGTTTTTTGAACGCTGTTTTTGATATATATTTTTTTTAATTTGTAATTTATTGGACCAAAGTTCACAGGAGACAACTATATGTTTTTTAATTTGTAATTTAATGGACCAAAGTTCACAGGAGACAACTATGGTACAAGTTGTCTCCTGTGAACGCCGAGGCCTCGGGTGTATGACCAGGCAAATATGCGTCAGCACAGGGAAATGGCAGGAGTCACTGCTTACAGTATGTATTTTATAAACAAATGCCAACACTATTATTCAAAATAATTACTTTGTTTCTCTCACAGCCAACGTGTTTCTGTTTTACAGGCACTGTGTTGATATCGGAGGATTTCGACAAAGAAGGGAAAGACCGTGGAGGAGAAATTCCCAGGACCTTGGTGGGTAAACAACGAACACATTAATGCTCGTGCTTCACATTTCACGTCAAGCCAAACAAGGTACGCAATGAGGAGAGAATGACGGTTCACGGTTAGACCAGCAGGGGGCAGGATGTAACATAAAGATGAAATACAGTAATCACTAGGATGAAAAGAGAGATATACGTTAGAAACCATGAAACCAAGCCATGAATAGAAATGTTAAATAACTATTAATATTCATACCTAAATTACAGTCATAATCAAAGGCTTTTTTGTTTGTTTTTTTTTGGTACGGGTTGGTAAATAGAAGAGGGTACAAGGCCAAATTATTTACGAATTACTTACTACTAATTAACAAAATGTTCATTTCATCAAGACCAGAATATTGTTTAGTCTACAGGACAAAGTGCTGCGTTTTACAATTTAAAATTTAAAAGAAAAACTCATAAATATAGTTATTTAAAAAGAAAAGATAATGTGATTTTATCATTTAAACCAGAGGTCTCAATCTCCCGGCACACAGGCCCCTTCCTGCCGCACTGATTTAATTGATGACAACGATCTCTTTGATTATTGTAAGGCAGTCAGAGTCATTAAACACACACCAGAACCTTAGGCGTTAGATGATGGCTTTATATTCCTGTGTCAGTCTTGTATTGCACACAAAATTAATGCTAGGTTAAAAACAATCTCCAAAACAACAGTCCTATTAATCAGTCAGACTTCCACTGGAAACAGCGCATGTCCAGATAAGATGGATGGTCGTAAAGTTATTTTAAAATCCTACACTAAATTTGATACTAGTTAATATATATTCACAAAGGCAATAACTGTATTTTTTTAAACATTAAAATGATTCAAATTACATGAATAATGCAACATTAACTTATTGCACAGATCTCCTGGAAATCTCACAGTACACTGAACCCTAAAGTCAGCTCAGGTCCATGTGTATCATCAACTCTATCACCAGTAAAAACAGTGAGATTTAGACCCATTAGAGTTTGGGTTTAGACCTCTCCACCAGCAATGATTTTTTTTTAATTAAACAACAAATTAACATTTTTTTAGAATACAAACAAACACTGTATACGTTATAGCTCTGTTAATATTCTGCTAACAATTTCCTTTGTACTCCCTGAGAAATAAAAACACTGCTTAAGGGAAACATTTAGCAGTACTAAAGTACTTCGTACTAAACTGTTTCATTAAGGCCAGTGGTTTCCTACTGGTACGTCCAATGGCTTGTAAAGTATGACATGACATGGGATTCATATTAAATATATAGTGAATCATATTTAAAAATCAACCTGTGTGCATATTGATAGTCTAGGGTGTTAAATGTGATGTAAAGTGCCAACTGTTTTAAGTAGTTAGATATATGTGGTCTGTTTTAGCTTGTGTTCTAGTGTCAAACCATGACTGCTGCTGAATAAGTGATCAAAAGTGATCATACATAGAGTGCATAACTAAAAAGTGGAGTATACATGCACCATGAGTGTAAAATGAAAAAACAAAACGGTATACTTACCTAATGTAAATTAAGACGAATGATATACTCAAGTATTATAGTGTCAGAAATATATCTCTTACGTATTATGCCATCACAGGATATGCGATTAAGTCCTGTGACATTCACAACACTATGAATTGTCAGGGCGTTTGTAGTAAAAAAAACAACAACACAGTTTTTAACTGATGGATATAAATTCCACAGCTAGTACATTGCGTCATGCTTTTCTTGTGTCACAGAGTGTTTAACTGTTGGGGCAAAGAGCAGGCCTCGGGCGACGGTGTTCTTTTTTAGATCTCATGCTGGTGTAGATTACCGTCGTACAATCAGGTTCACGATTAGGTATCAGTGCTGAGAAGGTGCAGGTACAGGTAGTGTAGCACAGTCGCTGACACCTTATCCCCGGTCTACGCCATCGTTGTCCCTGCCTGGCACAACGCGTTTGATCTTTTGTCCCATGCAGCATTACGCGTAAAACTCAATCCTGCCTGTGTGTCCGTCATGGAAGCCTTGGAAGAAGTGCCAAGCGCTCTCACAGTCAGTGAGACCCGCCGCAGATGTTTTGCAGTCTCCACATGAACAGAGCATGTGAACCAGTGTTCAAAGCTCAGAACAGTCTCAGTGAGGAGTGACGCTTAAAGGGACGCTCTATTTGATGAAGTTCCATTATTGATCCTGTTTACAGCATTCTGTTAAGATACACAACGAATGCTCTCTCATGAAGACAGCAGCTTGAGACTTTTCCCTGCTAACGTTTGTGTAGTGAGGATGTCACAAACTACCTGCGTTTAATGTGCTAGACTAGGGCTGACCAGATGAACTGGACTCTACTGATAACGTAACGAGTTGATGAGTCCGACCACATTTGAATATGTACACTTCTGAGTCTCCACACCAAAGTCAGTACAGAAATAATGGTAATTCCGGGACATTCCAGAAAGAACAGAGTGGTTTGTGCTGGTTTATATCTCATTGGATCTCAAACTATCCTGTGGAAGAGCTTCATGCGAAAGTAAGCTAATCAATTGGTGGCTTTTATTTTGACAAATTCTCACATGATGGGGGGCATTGGGGCATGAATGTAATTCAGAATTTTATGCAACATCCTTATAAATTGCATCATGCATGGAGTGCCGCTGTACACTGTGCGATTTTGGGCTGTCCCAGACCAAACACAAACGTTGTAGGAGAACCGGGGAGATGACTTTGGTTGTGGTCTAAAACTGTGACACAGGTTCAACGACAGCCGTTGTCAGCATCTTGCGACAACTCAAGATAAAATCCTAGTGGCATCAGAATGATGGGATGACCATCTCACACTGTGACAGATGCTGCGTCCTACATCTACTAGTTAGCCAATCTACAAAAAAATGCCACAATAACAGCTTTGTTCTTCTTTTTTGTTGTGCTTCTGATCGGTTTCGGTCACTACAGTGGCACAGATGGAGGACATACGGTGATGAAGTTGCATATTGATGTACGTCCTAAGCGGTAAATGGTCATCGCAAAATCTGCACGCATCAAACGTGACCTTGTACCAAAGTTTATAAGATCCACATCGTGTGGTGTGTCATGTTATAGTCGTTGAAGATTGCTAAAATCGCACAGTGTACAGAGGCCATTTCAGCTCACTGGGTCTAGGGTCAGCGCACCACTGCAGTGTTTGTCACTCTTTGGACTCACAAAAGCAATCATCTCTTGTTTGTTATATTCTTGAGGCAGTCCATTATGTCCTCACCGCTGGTCCAAGGAACTATATTTGCTTTGACTGTGACTGCCTGGGACTGCTGCATCCCCAGCAGCAGCCTGTGCATCGGGAAGTCCCTCCTGGGAAAAGCTGAGTCCCGGGGCCCCAGTGCCAGAGAGGGGCATATGTCATTGGCACCATCACCGACATAGAATACCCTTTGGAAGGCTACACCTCCACGCTCCTTCTGCCGGCTCATCAGATACTCTCGAAGGATCGCCTGTTTGCACATGTTATCAGGACAGCGTGAGCAGGAGTGGGCATGGAAAGGAAGCAGCGCCAGCCGACCAGTCTCGTCAAAACTGGCAGGGTTTGTGAAAATCTTCCGGAAAAGGTGGCGCACGCCGGCACGCTCCAGCCACTTCTCAATGAAATACATGTTGGCGTCAGAGACCACCACTAACTCAAAGTCCTGCTGGTGGCTCTGCAGATACTGGAGGAGGTTCAGGAGGCCGGGTGTGGGCTGAAACGCCACTATTGCCGAACGGATGGACTCCTCGGACACATTCTGCTCCCGCATGTAGGCCAAGACCTTCTGCATGTATTCATTATAATGGCCTTCCCTGAAGCTGTTTTTCAGCCAGTCTGGGAGCTCCTGGTCGGGCATCGCGCACAGCACGGCCTCGTCGCTGTTGGTGTTGATCATAGTTTCGTCAAAGTCGAACAACACCAAAAAGCGCGGCTCTTGTGGTGCGGTCATCTTTGTTTGTTCTGTAGCGTCTTGCCCTAAAAAAAAGAGTTAGACACTGTCATTTTTTGCAGCCATCTGTAAGAATGCATCTTAGATGTTGCATGCCAAAACAGGAGAATTATCTTTGGTCCACAGGCCACAGGGGGAGTCGATGTTTAAATTAAACAGACTGAACAGACTGAACATGGAAACATTAGGCTGTGTATATATCCAACAGACAAAATGTTCACCATGACGTGGAATGTTGACGCAAAGCAGAGTCACGTTCTTTTTAACCTCATTACATTCCTGCAAATACTCAGATAAGCGCTCACTCGTTCATGTATTTTAGAAGTGGAAGAGGAAAGAAAACAACTCTTTGTTATATATTCTGTGTATCTGGGACCAGGCCAGGTAAAAATGTACAAAACGTATTGCTGGAGTATTTGTCTGGTGAGGACGTGTTGTAACTCGGTTAGGGTTAGGAAACGGTCATGATTCAACATATTTGTGCCATAGGAGGAACAAACAGAGGAAGCGTGTTTAAAAAAAAACACTTTCACTGCTGCACGGTGATTTCCAATGAATTAATATTTAAAACATTCACTACATTTGAATCTTGCTATGTTTTCTATATGACTATATTTCTATAGAGTAATAAATTAGGTAACTCTGTTTATTTACAAATAGTCACTGGCTGAACATTGACATTCATTTTTTTTAATTTATTATAATTATTGCAGTACAGTGGAACCTCCTTGAATGCCTACCTTATTAAGTTCTAAAACCGAGGTTCCACTGTCTCTTTAATGTGATTTTGTTCCTCTCCCTTTAGTTGATATAAAAAAAAAATCAATATTTGAGGATGATGTCAATTCTGGGTTTGCAAAATCCCAGTTGACATTTTACACAGTTAAAGACAAGTGAATCAAAAGTCTTCTGGTTTCCAGTGATGGTCTGGGCGCACAAAGACTTCCTGGTACATAGAAGCTTTTTTCTTTCTTTTAATACTTCCTGCAACATAGAAGCTTTTTTCTTTCTTTTAATTGATATGTTGGTTTGTGGATACAAAGTGAAAGCTGTTTTCACCAAATAATTAATTAACAATTAACAACACGAGTAAATACTCTATGTCATATTGTAATAGAGTGGCAGTGAACCTCATGCTTTCAAAAACAAACCTGTTTAAGTGAGCAGGACAAGAATGTCCACGGGCCATGAGTCCCAGTTAGAGGATAATGATATTCTGTTGTATTTTTAAGGCTTTTTGCCATTGGATAAGATGACAAAACTTTGTTGACCCACCTGCACACTATTGCTGTGGGGCATAATTAGACCTAATTATACTGTACATGCAGTAGGGGTAAATGTTCCATACGCTGTCTTATGTCTTATGGCATAAATAAACACACAGTGCTCGGTAACGGTAACTGAATATAGGCTTAGTCAAGAAGCTGCGTTAGATCAGTCCTCACAGTTCTCATGTCCTTACGCTGTCTTTACAGTATGTTTATCAAAGACATAAGAGATGTTTGGCTCAAAGGTCAAATTCAGTGCTTGTCCTTATAATTTTGACCAAACCATGCTTAGATATTAGTTTTACAACACTCAACTGTGTAAATGTGTAAGAAAAAAAAAATATTTAAATGAAAAAAGAATAGTGCACCTGAAAGGATGCAGACCTAAATGTAAAATATACTTTCCCCATATATATATATATATATATATAGAAGTTTTGAAATTCACATTTAAGTGTCAGTGAGTGGTTTGTGCCATAGCACTGATCCTGGCTGCCTTTATAGCGCCCCTTGCAGGAGAAGATATGCTTTGAGTTTGCCAAAACAACTCAAAAGTTTTTTGTTTTTTTAAATCAAACTTTTTAAATGTATATTATAAAATACTTGTTCGGCTAGATGAAAAGTAATCACAGTTTTAGTGTTTCTCCATATTTATAAAAAAATCTATTTAAAGGGAATTATTATTAATTCCCTTTTCAAAAAGACTGTTAATACAATTTCGTTGTTATCTTTCTGTAAAAGAGTACAGATCGATGTGCATTCATTTCACACTGTATTTAAAAATATCCAGGTTTACGCGAACGCTTTAAATGGTCAATTCCGTGTCAGCTGATTGAGGGAGGGATAACGGGGGTCCAGCTGCTCTAAACGTCCTGCAAACATGCAGCACTGGTGCATGGACGCATTATGTCAAGTGGGCTCCTCCGTGCAACAGCAGCAATATTAATAGAACACACATTTAACACCCTAAGCCGTCTAAATATAACCCCCGGGATGCTATTCCTGCAGGAGAGGTGACCGTTCAAAGTCATTTTAAATAGCTTTGCACTGTCAGGATGACCTGACGTGTTCTGCGTCCGGCATGAACTGAAGCGACAAAGGGACAAAATGCAAATAATAATAAAAAACAACAACAACAACAACAACAGTGAACGAATAGAGAGCAAAGGAATCTGTGTGAGAGACAGGGAGAACGAGAGGGTTGAGGCAGAGTCAGGCCTACCGGTGCAAATAAGCATACAAGCCGGGATGTTGTCGGCTCGATGTACGGCTCCGGCCACAGCACCGCAGTCACCATCAAGGAGACTCCCTCAGCAGCGCAGAGGGTATTCCCTTTTAAAGCGGCTGCGCCAAGTTAACGTGACAGAAAACCAATGCATCCGACAAATTCTTTCAAAATAAAAGCACACCGGAAAGCGAATTGACGTACAACAATTGAATAAGTAGAAACCCATTAAATGAAATGTGTCTCAGTTCGCGGTTTAATGTCTTTAGCCAAGTGCTAGGACTGTTTATAAAGACAAATATGTAATGAGTGAGTAAGGAGTCTCATAAAAGTAATTAGATTGAGGCTGGCGCTCTTAATGGGTCAAAGTCAAGTTTAAAATAGATTAGAACACAAAAGAGTAGAACAGACTTTGTTGCTGTTGTATGATAAAGAAAAAATTATACGGCCACACGGTGGAAACTCTACCCTCTCATTTGTGCAGTTTACATTTTCTTGAAACAGTTTGTCCATATGTGCTCCTATAGAAACCTAATATGCAGCCAGTCTAAAGCAAAGTCCTCTCCTAAGGGGAACTGTGTACATAAGACGCCCATTCTCCCAAAACAAAAAAGCATGTATTTAAAAAAGAGAGTACACTTAATAAAGCTCAGTCTGATGCCTGAAGCTTTCACAACCTCTGTGGGTCATAGGTCAAACTTTTTGTAATTACTGAGCAGCATAACAAACAGCACTACTGGGAATCTAAACCCAAACTTATATGCAGGAACAGCTGATCCTTAACATGGAGCGCTTTACCCCAATACCAAAGTGCAGCCAACGTCCACAGCCACAGGCCATATTTGATTTCCAGTTATTTTCCACAATGTAAAAAAAAGCATTTAAATAAATACACTTTAGAGTGTCTTTAAATATTAATAAAGTAATCTACACAAAAAACTTTTTTCAAAGTAAATGATTAAATTCACCAACTGTCGTCATCCTTTAAAGCAATCGCAGAAACCACATTTAGAGCTGACACATCTCTGACTGTGCAGAAAGGCAGTCTGTCCTCAGCAGACACAAATGACCACTTCCTCATCTGACGTCCTCTGACCTGCTGTGGACTTTACATTATTGCTACACTATTGTTAGAAAACTGTAAATCAAAGAAAAGGGACTTGGCCTCACAGTAGTACTCTTACACATCACTTTTGGCCAATGTTAGCAGCAGCTAAAAGAGAGGGCATTCACTGTGTGACCACTGTGTGAAATATCTGCATTTGGTGTGGTAACAGCAAGATAAACAGCAGCAGCAATCCTTCGCCGTGGCAGAGGAAGTGTATAATGACCATAATCTTATCACAGCAGTCCACCTCAAACCCCCCACCCATTCGTACATGTCTTGTCTAACGTAGGACCCAACGCCCAGTGCGGTGGTGTCTGTGCTGTGAGTGTATGTGGAGAACGTTTGTATGGAACATTCACACAGGAAGACAGTATGTTCTACTATTTTGGACCACAATAACTGGTGCTCTTCCTCTCTGACGTCTAGTTTTATGGTGCATATTTACATTTTATTGCACGTGTACTTCAGACTGTTACACGTTGGTTGTTTATCAGGGAAAGAAAGGAGTATGGGTGTGATGCTAAAATCACATGCATTATGGATTAAGGCAGATAAAGGCAGTGAGTCTGTGTTTCAGTAAACATCCAACAGAAGACTAAAGATAAATAAGTGGAATCAATGAAAACATAGCGCTGTCATGAAATGTGGTGCTACAGGACTGCATGATATCGGGTAATAGGGACCCCTGGTGGACGCAATGCATAGTTGCACCAAATACACATTTGTAACCAAAAAATAGAAATGTGAATTTAAATGTAATTTTAAATAAACTCTAATGCATTTTAGTTTGTCTTTAGATTTACTAATCGAGGAATTATCACAAAATTGAATAATGTGTCATCAAAACTGGTTTGAAGACAGCCTTTGAAAGCATTCGGACATAAAACGTTGTTAGTTGTCAACAATAACGTAGCAAAATAGTGAGTAAATATATATTTGTTTAACTGTTGAATAATGTTAGGAATATATTTTTAGTAATACGTACAGATTAGCCTATGCACAGTATGATAGAATACTTTAACTGTGAAGCCCAATTCACATGGACTAGGTTGGTTACATTGTTCAACCACTAGATGTCACTCCTTGCACAACTGAATCTCCATGCGTAGTGACGTGAAGAGATTTACAGTATTCTTGCACTATTTTACATTTAAGCGTTTAATATATAAAATCCATAAGCTAAAAAAGTAACAGATGACGCAAGCAGACGCGACTTCGTGAAAACGTTCCACATCAGATCCTAGTCAGAAACACTGGACTGAATGGACACTTCTGTCCAAATTAAACACAGACAGCTTCTCATGGCGAAACTGATGTCAACACTCTTTAGAAATCAAAACAAAGCTAGAATAAAGGAAGAGATGGAGGGAGAAAGGAATGGGGGGTGTTGAGGAATGTAAACTGGAGAGACACTGGAGGAACGTATGTGATCCACGTCACAGCAGTGGAATTACACCCATTTGAACCACTGACCTTAGACTCCAGCACTAGCATGGAATGAATTTCCACTGTATACATGATTATGGGATGTCATTACTCAAGGACCAGCTGTATTCATTTGTAACGTTTTAACTTGAATTTCTACCATAGGTTATCACTAGTTAACACACTTGGCTTCCTGTTACTGTTGAAGCATTGACACAAATATTGACAAAAACCTTTTCTATTCTGTTATCTTACAGCTGACATGAAGGGAGTGATAAAAAAGTCCTAAAGCTTTGCCACAAAAAACCCCGAAATGATTCAGCCGTGCTTTCAGTCCAATCATTTCTACCCTGAGATTATTTGAGCTGGTTAGCGACTGAACTGACTAATACCAAACAAACAATAAATGTCATAAACTCACCAGTGCATTAATGCTATTTCACTTGGACCAAGTAGAAGGAAAATAAAATAAAATCAGCAGGGAAGTGTCTTTATGCATGAAGAAAGGCACCGATCTTTCACGTGTCACACTCCTACTATGTTTTTCTTTCATTTATTTTCATCAAAAAACATTTTTTATCTAATTAATGAACAAACTTAATTATGATATTAACTAAGCTGTGATAGTTTGAGCCATTGTTTTTTTTTTCGTCCTGCAGGGCCTCCTCTCTGGTCTCCTTGGCAACATAATGTTATCTCCTGCTGCCTTCAGGCTTTAGCTTTGGACCATTGTCTCTCTTCCTCCCTCTTGGGTGATGGAAGGAGGAGGACTTTCCCAATATTTTGGCGTTCATGCATGCGTTTCATTGCATCGGTGACCTAAACAGAGATGACACGTGGATTAGAAAGTCTATTAGCTGTGTCCTGAGCCTGGCCTACTGTTATTTAGCATTTATTGCTAAGCTAATAAGACGATACAGAGACTCATATAGTTGACCTCAAGTGGTTCCAGACACCCTGTTGAAAACCTCTGCTCTGACGACTGTTTACAGTTGCACTAAACAAAAGCTCATAAATGTGAAATTTCGACATTATGATAGAAGCGGCCATTTCAGATTTCGGATTTAGAACATGGCGTCACCCACCTCCTCAAAGTGATAGCATGAGTCGATGCACGGCTTAATCTTTCCCTGCTTGTAAAACTCCAGCAGCTCCACCAGAGTGCGGTTGATGATGTCATCATCAGTGATGTAGCCCAGGTGAAAGCCGCCGATGGTCTTATTGGTCTGCATCAGCTTCAAGGCAGTGAGAGACATCTGGTTGTACCAGAGTTTTGCCAGGGCCATCAGGTTCCTCTTTTGACCTGTCACGCCGTTGGCTGCACCTGAAAGGATTTTTGAATTCAGGGTATAATGTCCTGAAATGGTCGTATGTATGTGGAGGTTTGTACTGTCCTGGCATATTTGAATCTATGGTTTCTATCTATAGACAGAAGGCTTTTTAATCCCAGACTTACCAAAGACTATTAGGCTTCCAAGAGGTTTTAACAGATTAAAGGACTTCTGGGTGTCAGCGCCCCCAAGTGGGTCCAGGACAATGTCCACACCTAGCGAGAGACAAATAAGATTATACGTTAAGAAAGTGTGTTTTCTTTTTATTGAATGGTATAAATTCACTGTTTGTTTTTTTTCCCACCCTTCGGGCTAATTTTTCTGATTTCATCAGCGTAGTCTCTGGTTCTGTAGTCAATGGGGTGAGTGACTCCGCCCCGGGCAATGGTCTCGTGCTTTGACGACGATGCCGTGCCAAAAACAATCACGTCTGGCACGGTGTGACACAGCTGGGTGGCAGCGATGCCCACGCCGCCTGCAGGTTAACAGAGAGACAAGCACAACCGCAGGCTGTGAGTGTAGAGTTTCAGCAGCGGCACTTGGAACGCAAATAATCAACCATCTCTGCAATCATTAACAAGGCTGAGCATTTGATATCAGCGTTATCAGATCGTCCTCAGGTTGATTTGGAAAAATATTATAAAATCTTATTATAGAGTACACCTAATAAATGAAGAGTGAGTCAGAGACATTTAATCCAGGGTTATACGATTGGACGTTGATTATGTTTTTATCTAGATTAGCATTTGATCAAAAAAAAAAAAAAAACCCACACAGTTTTTTAAAATATTTTTCCTGAAAAGACATAGCAATGATCTTTGAGCTACATTTCTAGCTCTGTAGTTTAGTTTTTGAACATAGAAATGCACAACTCCTTGTCCAATGCTGACTGGCGCTCACTGTTTTACTCAGTGTAGCCATGTTGTTTCCAATTTTGGGGTTGGGGAAAAGTATATAACATGGGGCCATGTTATACTTCTTTAAGTCCTTACACAATTAACAACCACCTCCTGTTCTATCTTCATTTACCACATGTAACTTATTGACCTGGATCAGCTAATGACCATACAGTCTACTTTGGACTCTGAGAGTGTTTTAAAGTCTGCATTTGAGTTGGAGCCAAAACTGTGAACCGACTCCTTCAGGTTGTTATTGTCGTCAGGAGTGAGAAAGGCATTATTTATTTACTTCCCTTTGATGTGCTCATTATTTAGTAGACATTCTGAACATTCCTGGTTGTTGTTGCTGTTGTGTTTGTTCAACTTGATTCTCTGGTTTGTTTTTTTTATTTAAATGTGGCGCCAACCTTTGGTAGAATTTTTTGCGGCAGTCACGCCCCTTCGAAAACGATCGGAGCGAGCGTCTGTCTATGAGAGGTTATGTCGCCGCCGTCGTTCACACGTTACGTAGAGTCAACCGAGTAGCTCTTTATGGATTAAAGCAGTCATCAGGTTGGCATTAGTGATGTCATCAGAATATCTGATTATTTTTAATAGGGCTGTGAGCTGGTTTTTATTCCTAATCAGATTAGGCTGTTGATTGATGATGTTACAGTAGTATCAAAGCAAATGATGACTGTCTTAGTAGTTTAATAACGTTGTTTTTATTTATTGTAATGTACTTATGCCAGCCATCAGGTGTGTTTGCTGCGAAATGCATCAAAATTATAATGTTTCCAGCTTTGTTTCTACAAAACATACAGTATACGAAATTATGTTTAAATTATACCGTTTTGTTATATGAAGCTTATTGCCATTTAAGAAGTTGTTGATATTTTAAGCTTGCTACAAAACATACTGTATACGAAATTATGTTTAAATTATACCAGAAAACAATGGTAGTTAGTATTGATATAATAATTATTAACATCACAGCTCTATCCAATCAGATGGCATTTTCCCCAACATAACACAGTAATGGTGTTCTAGAAATATATTTGACCCCACCCCAGTTTATGACTTTGATTTCAGAGTCCTACAGTACCTGCGGCCATGTGGACAAGGACACTATTGCCCGGCTTCAGGTTGGCCATCTCAAACAGCATCAGGTAGGCAGTCACGTAGCTAATCGGCAGAGCTGCTCCTTCCTCGAAGCTCATCTCGTCCGGCATGACGGTAGTGCGGACGGCGGGCACGACAACCAAGTTCTGCCACAGGCCGCTGCGAACCAACGCGATGACGCGGTCTCCTACCTGAGGGGGGGTAAAGAAGAGATACCTCAGCGTCCAGACTGTGGCAAAACAAAGCAGACAGAGAGCATACACATTTGTATTTCAAAGGGTTGGTGAAATCATTATGTTCCTGGTGAATTTAGAGGGGCAGCGGCAGAGACGGCGGCGGCCTCTTTTTAAAGCACTGGGACTCTTTATTACCAGTTTTCATGAGGGTTTCTTTGATTTCCTGCTCATATAAGAGTCCTCAGCCCAGGGCTCTAATAAGAAATGCTATTTCTGTGCAGTGTACTGGTTACTGCAACAAAGACACAGCAGCACTGGCCAACAGTTCCAAGCCAACGTAGGAGGACAGGAAAGAAGTGAGCTCTGGCTGTGAATACTGAACTGCTTCCTGTCCAAAAGTACTCTGAACCACAAATACTGCGTGTGTCACGTACTGTACATACACATACAGTATGTTACGTCGTATTGTTTTCAACACAGCTGTTAGTGGGTTTTCGGTGTCACACTAATGTCAAAACATTGTTTGAAGTACACACTGTAAACACATTCAGATGTAACGGATACATGTGCGCCGCTCGTGTTGAGAACCAGTTCGAGACCCTAAAAAATTGCTGTTAATCCAGACATAAAAAACCACGGTGTTTCTCCAGAAGACTGTTTATCAAATCATGCTTCACTTGGAAACATTGGGACTTTTGACCCTTATTAAATCTAATTAAAAAAAACTACACACAACTGAGACAAAAAAAGAGAGAAAGTAGAAAGACATAGATCAAGATTACAGATTTAGGCTTGTGTACTTTGACTGTTTTTTTAGTGATCCCAGCAGAGTCCTAATTGTCTCTGGTTTGGGAGAAGTAGTTGAGGACCAAACACTTCAGCTGGTAAACTTATAATTTAACCAGAACAATAGTTACAGTGAACTCATCACACAACAGACAGACTATCTGATACTTCCATCATCCAGTCTTGGCTTCACAACACGACGGGCTTCTTCAAACTCTCTGCACTAACAGAGTCGACCGCTATTACCATTCGCAAACCGCAGTCTGGAAGCACGAGAACAAACTGTGCACAACAATGAGGTAACGTAACATCTGGAAACAGATGAAAAAGACACTGAGGATAATGAGATCTTATGGAACACATCTGCTCTTTTGGCTGCCTCCAGAATCCCCCAGAAAACATCCGCACGCTGAACTGTAAGAACTTGAAATCACTGATATATCCTAACATTTACACAAATGATTTTTCACCCCAAAAGGATTCACCCCATAATATGTTAATTCAAATTCTTGCCCTGAAACTAGTTCATATTTTCAATCTTTTTTATTTGTCTGTCTTTGTGGTTTGTTATGTTTTACTGCTCTAATACAAAAACGAAATGCAACACTTCCTCTTCCTTCTTCTAGTCCAAAAATGGAAAAATGACAGAGGAAAGGAATGCATTGAAGCTCCTTGAATTCAGCACAGATCTCAAAAAACTAATCTGTAGAAATACGGCATACGGAGAATCATTCAACACTTGTGACTTATATAAAACATAATGTAAAAACAAGTCTATAAAATCTACCGAATGTCAAAGCTGTGAGGTCATCGTGGTGTATGGTACACACCTTCACTCAGCTAATTAAGCCACAAGATTATTTGACTCTCAGAGATAAGGAAAAAAACTACTACCAAGGAACTGCACTTTTATATAAACTGTAATAAAATCACAGTCGTAAATCTTGCTCTTAATCGCTCTTATCAGGGCGAAGGTAAATAGTCCGCTATTAGTGTTACTACATAGGACCAATGCAGTTTATTACTACAATCTGGATATGTAGACACTTAAAAAGGACCAGTTTGTTGGAGCCTTGTTTAGAGCACCTCGGAAAGTCAATAACTCTCATTCATCACCTACTGCTTAAACTTCTTCCTGGTCACAGGGGGCAGGTTGGTTGGAGCCAATCCCAGACATGGACAAACATTTACACTCACACTATCAAGGGTGATTCATTGACCTTATGCAGTGTGATTTTGGACCATAAAAACCCTATGCACACACTGCAAAAACACAGCACAAATGAGGATCAAACCTCCTGTTTTGGCTGTAAGGGAAGAGCACTAACCTCTCTGCCACTGTGTGGCCTTCTTTCAAGTGAGAAATGAACAGCTGGATCCTAGTTCCTTGTTTCCCAAAGACTGGGTCGCGACCCTCAGGTGGGTCACAAGAGGTTTTTTTTTTTGGTTCATCTCTCATCATGTTTCCCAGGAGTTTAAGAATCATGTCTGTGGACTTGTGACTTTTAAAATATGGGTCCCCAGAAAAAAAGTTCCTAGTTCCATGTTTAGTTCAGAAAGACAGGTTTGTCTTTACACACCCATAAGTGTAAAGACACTGTTTAGATTAGACAAGATTAGATTCAACTTTTGTGAATTAAACTCCATTTGTTGCAGCAACAAAAAGGACAGTTTGACACAAACGAAGAACCCCCCCCAGAATGGGTAGAATGTACTCAACAAGAAAACAGAAAGACATACAATATGAAATTATTATTATTAAAAATATTAAATACTTAAACTCCTTAAGGATAAGTACCCTCCATTAGAATAGTAATTCACTCATCCTTATTTTTTCACTTACTTTCCTGTCTTTCACGTCATCTGCCACAGCTTCTATCACTCCCGCTCCCTCCATCCCCATGGTGACCGGCGGGGCAGGGAGGGGATCATACAGACCCTGCCTGCCCATCAGCTCAGCGAAGTTCAGGCCACACGCCTTGACCCGCAGCAGCACCTCCCCGGACTTCAGCTGAACTTTGTTCTGCGGCTTCACCTGCAGCTTCACCTTGTCGTAGCCCCCGTACCCGGTCAGAACCAGGGATCGGACCTTGTCCTCGGCTGCACCTGCAGCTGCTGGAGCTTCTACCCCAGACATGTTGTTCACCTCTGAGCTCAGGGAACTCTGCTCTGCTGCAGGTCAACAGTCCTTTACGTAAGACTGGGCGGTCCTGCCAACTCCACCACGCGCTCTCTTGTTTATAGAGCACAACATACGAGATCGTACTGGTTTGAAAATAAGATAAAGCACATGACAAACTATAATTCGACACTAAAGGCGCGGGATTTAATTTAATGTGTTGCAAAACTAGATATAAACTTTGATAAAATACGGAATCTCCCTTTATTATGCCTTGAAACGCTGACGCGATTTGTTCCGTATTTCCATAAATGTCGGCGAATGTTTTTGTTGTTTTTTTCCTCTTTAAGTAAACACATTCAGAGACAGTTCATGAAGTTATATGATTCAAAGTTCTCAATTTATTTAGTTTATATTTTAAAAGTTAATTTTTGCACCCTGCACACAAACATATTTCCTTTGAGATTTAATGAACTGTTTTTTGTGTGTTTTTTAATAGATGGTTGGAGGGCCACATTAAACATTTATCTAAATTTACAGGAAACTGGCCAAAAAAAACAAAAACAAAACGTGACTTTGTGTATGACATACGATATAATTGATGGAACTACGCGATGAACATAGAGAGAATAAGTCCGCATCAATGTGAATTAGTGTTACTGTCGGTGTTTAGCCAGTAGATGGCGCTGCGACAATTGTTTGTCGGATGATATATCGATTCGGATGGACTGCAGTGTAGTAAAATGCATTAAATCTATCATTTATCCACCTATCAATACAATAGGTTTATATAAATGAGATATGTTAAAAATTTAAATACATTTAAAATTAATTTAAAAAAAAGTCTTCTTGAAAACGGACCAAAGTCTATCAAAGGAAGGCAGGAGAAAACCGGAAGTTTGTAGACTGCCCTTTTAGAGAAACTATAATTCACAGCGCAGAAGTTTACGCCCTTCAAAGCAATAGTTTTGCCTGAGGCAGAAATAGTAAAGAGTTCGGAGCGTTAACACAAGTGAAAATGAGGTAATATATCAGCAGGACGCTAAATCTAGTCATACGGGATTTCGTCTGTAAAGTTAGAGGCTTTTAGTGTGAAAGGAAGCAACAGGAAGTTCATTGAATGGCGCTACTGTGACAGGTATTCTCTTGATCAGCTGAGCAGAGCAGCCCAGCAGAGAGCAGAGCATGCAGTCACAACTCCGTGGACATCATCACCGAAACTTTCTCTCTCTGGTTCGGACTTAGGACTTGGACGAAGTCACGAATCATCAGTCCCCCGACTTTGACTGTGTCTACGGCCATCAATGAGCAGCAGACAGAGACGCACTCAGTGATTTCCACGGGCCACGAACGATGGAGAGCAAGGGACTACTCCGCTGTAAGATCGTGGTGGTGGGGGACACGCAGTGTGGCAAGACGGCTCTCCTCCACGTTTTCGCGAAAGACTCCTATCCAGAGGTAGGAGACTGAGACTTAAGACACTGAACACGCATGGGTGATGCTGAGCACAGAGTCTGAGTCTACACTGACATTTACAGCAGGATACAGGATAACTGTAGGATATGTGAAAACATCATAATAATAATAATTATTATTATTATTATTATTGTGTGTCTGTCATGATCTCTAGCTCTAGATCTCCGTGCGCTTTTTTCTCCGGCATCTCCGTGCGCTTTTACGCGTCAACCTCAGAGCAGACTGATCCATCAGCAATACAAACACCGCACACAAAACAAACTACACACAAAAACAAGCCGGGTGGACAGCAGAGTTGTGTCTAAGAGGGGAAAAAAAGCAGCCAAGAAAACCACATCTGCGTCTATATCGATGTAGAGGTCAGAGTTTTGTCCGCACAAACTGAGGACATCAGAGTAAGAGATGTCCTGCTTGATGAACAGGAAAAACAAACCCGATTTTTTTTTTGAGACTTGAAAACCAACAAGACAATATGAAAGTCATTTAAACAATTCGAATTCATTAAAAATTTCCTTTATGTCCATGACTCTTATTTACTTGTATTGTGTTGATCACAACACAAAAAATCACGTGACCAGATAGAGTTCACTTTTTGTTCTATATTTTTAAATGTAGATATTTGAAATGTAGATTGGACATGAAGAGTAGTTATCATAAAGAAAACAACACTCTGGTGTGATTTTTGTACATCAGATTTTCGTATCGTCAAATCGAGAATCGTAGTTGTTTAGGTATATGCGGATAAATATTAATCGTCAGATGTTTTAATGAAATTCTCATGAACTCCGAACCACACCTCCTGCCCTCGATGTTCCCCGTGTACTGAAGCAACTGACTCATGATGATCCAGCCTCACCCTGTTGTCGAATCCCTCACATTTGTTTCCTGTTATTAAAATCACAACACCTTTAAGGAATGTTAATCTTGATTTAGGTGAACACACACACGCCTCTTTGTCGTTCCAGAATTACGTCCCCACCGTGTTCGAGAACTACACGGCCAGCTTTGAGATCAACAAGCAGAGGATCGAGCTCAACATGTGGGACACCTCAGGTCAGACAGCCCCTGGCGTTTACTTGCACGCAGCATTTTGTCTAAGTTGACGTGCAGTATGTGTCTGTGCTCCTGTCACTCAGCAGCTTTGAGTCAACACCACGCCTGTAGTTGCTTCAACTGCTGCTCAGAAGTTACAGTTAATAGGTTTGTCCTGTTCCAGGTAGCTGTCACAAGTTAGCATACCCTTTAAAGTTACATTTCAGGTTTTTTTTTTTTGGAAGACAGCTTGCATAATTTAGATAGCAGTGCAGTTCAAATCTGTGTCTCTGCTATTCAGGCTCACCACTAGCGAAATCACGGAAGCTGAGAAAAATAAATAATAATAATAATAATAAGACTATTTAATTATATGAAAACTGACAGTAAAGTAAACACCCAATGCTACAACCACTCAGTAATGAGGTTATATTACCCTGTTAAAGACAGAGTTTGTGGACCTCTGACAACCAGATTCCATCAGGCTCCAACAGCGGGCCAACTTTCTCCCCTTGTCAGCCTTGAGGCCATTTCATTTGAATGACGCTTTTACCTTGAAAACAACACCCCAAAAAACCAGCTTGGAAGCTTTGATGTACAGCGTTCCATTAGCCTCCACCCATACAGACAGACAGATAGAGAGACAGACAGACAGAGAGAGAGAGAGCGAGACCAGCCAGACGAGCTGGAGATTAAGAGCTGCAGCTGCTGCTGCTGTTGCCTGTTGGTTGCAATGGGTGAGGCCACCACTGTGTTTGTGCAACACCCTTTGGAAATTACCACTTTGTCTCAAACACACACTCACACCTTTCTGCTATTGTGCTGTGGATAAACAACCGCACAATGGGAAAGAATAATTTGCCCCACTGCAGGAATTCATGCCCACTGTCAGTGTGGAATGTGTGCCATTCATGGGTGTGCTGTGTCACGGTAAAGGCAGGTCAGTGCGAATCAAGGGACGGCGGACGAATGAATACAGTAGGGTCTAAGGCACCGCTTTGGATTTGACCTCTGGTTCGAAAGGCGAAAATGATTTTCTATAAGACAGAGATTTGTCGCCACCTAGCTCCATAGATAGGGCAAATACCAGAGAGATATCCTCATGCAGTTTCTATAGTTTATGCACAGGTGAATCGAGATGAGAGGAAGCAGAAGAGCAGGATTAGCGACCAATTATCAACGATCCCTGACCTCACAAACACAAGATAGCTAAATTCTAACTTGAATTGTTATTTTTAAATATTTTTTTCTGTGTAATTATCCATATTGTCAAAGTCTTGACTCATTAATTGAATTGATTAAAGTCAACCCACAAATTAACCAAACTAGCACAACACAGCTGCCGACGTTTCAGCTTCATCAGACTTCAGTCGAAAGGTTGACCCGTCAGTCAGACGTGACTTGAGTCTTTTTGTAAGTTTTTCCCATCATGCCTAAACAAACAAACAGTCAGTAGTTACTTCCAACACCAGTCAAGCAGGTTTTCACTGATCTTAAGGGGCCGACATACAGACGGATGGTGATTGTAAAGAAACTTGAACAGTGCCAAGAAATGCAATTCTTTTCTATAAGAAACCTCCGGGGCTCAATTGTTCTGCATAAGTGGCCCATTGGGAGGGTGCAGCCCTCACTTTGAGAGTCCCTAGCTATACCTGTTTCCATTATGGTTACTGTGCAAAAGTGAGTGTTAACCAGGTACAGTATATAATAAGGCAAAGTAATGTAAGAAACTGATTCTCTGATTAGAGATTATTTAGAGAGCAGGTGATCCACGTCTGCTCTGCACTCCATTCTACTCTCTCTCTCTCTCTCTCCCTCCCTCTCCTCCTGAGCCACTGAGAGCAGACTTGTGCATTGTTGCCCTCAGCGTTGCTGCGAGCTATTCTGAGCGTGTTGGGGAAGACAGGTGCACGCTGGCAGCAACATCAATATTACCCCTGCCCCACTGGTACCTGCCTCTTCAAACTAATGACTCAGTCGGGGGATTACCGTCACCTGGTTGTTTTTACTGTCTGGACTCACCTACATTTTGCTTTTTCTTATGCAATCACTAGAGTCGGGCGGAAACGTCGAAAAACCTTCTTCGGTCGGTGTGTGTGTGTGTTCGTGGGCATGTTGAGGCTTGTTCAGCACACAGTAAGGAAAATGGTTTAAAGCACGTGTGAGTGCAAGTGTGTTTGTGCGAGAGCCAAAAAGCATAACCATGAAGCAGAGCAGCAGGAGTGAGGGCAGTGACCGAAACTAAGACATCAAAGCAGCATTATGGGTAAATCTGTTGAGTTGCCCGTGCCAAGTATCAGAACGGTCTTTGAAATGACTGCAGTGTCCTGCGAAACCGCTTCCCAGCTAACTATTCACTAATTACATCAATTCACAGAGAGTGCTCTTATCAGATGCTGACATATTTACCCTGCAAATATACATTAAGGTATACAATAACAACTAGGAGGGTCTGTAAATGGGGAGTCTATATGGTCCAGTCTGGTGATGACTGATTTATACATATGATCTACTGGTGTATGTGTTTGTTAGGGGTTGTAATTGAGTGATATATGCAGCGCTAAATTAGTTTTTTTTTTTGAATGTGAACAATCGGAATTTATGCCGACTTCACGCATTTGCCTCAGAAATTTGCTTCACCTGTGATAGTTTTCTACTGAGTATTGGTTTTACGCTGTAAGAAAATGTGAGAAAATGAAAAAAAAAATCGTTGGGAACGAGATGTCGAAAGTTTGGCCTCTTCTGTGTGTTTCGTTCTGTGTTCCCTCCAAGACTCGCCTTTCTTTCAGTGACTAAAACAATTATCGTAGGGAACACAAAAGAGCTGGCAATCACTTCTAAAATAACTGAACAAGCAATTACTCTCGAAATTGCAATCTTGTTTTGGGTTATTAAAGTTTGGAGATGGCACTCACGCAGTTTGACATCAGTATTATGAATCCTCTGAGAAGATTTATTTTTTCAAAGCACTTCTTAATTCATTCACAATCGCTGTATTTCGTGTTTTTTGTTTGTCTGTTTGTTTGTTACAAAAATTGACCTAGTACACATGTCAACCAGTTTGATTCAAATGGTCCAACGGTTTTAAAAGTTGACCAACTAACAACAGCTCTATGAAAAAGCTGTCTATCAGACGCTGTAGAAATGAATCTAAAACAACGGAGTGTTGGATTGGAGTGGCAGTTATAGAGCTACAGAGAAACAAACAGTGGATTGAATCAGTCAGACATTTGCCGTGAGACCAAACACTCGCCCTCTGTCTCTATCATTCTTCATCACACTGCACCACCCACCGTCACATCCGAACACGTTCGTCCTCAGACCTTCTGCCTCCTAGGTTAAACTCTCGCCCTACTTTTTCTTCCTCTCTCTCTGCCTCTTCTGTGTACATCTCCGTCGTTTCCTGTCATCCCTTCTCCATCCCACCTGGTTTTTTATTTTTCATTTGTTTTTAATGCGCGCAGTCTGAGGTAAGATCTGAGCAATAGGTTTTAATCTGAGAATAAAAATGTTTTCTTTTTCAGCCTTGGGAAGAGCAGTGAGGAGGGATAAAAAAAAATCTTAAATCTCCGTGTGTTTGATCACATAACATGATCCTCCACAGCAAAAAGCCTTAGCAGGCGTTCACATTTGAATGCCTGAACTGTGGGTAATCGTTCTCACCGTTGAACAGCCCTGACGGCATCAGAGTTAATGAGGAAAATCAGCGGCGTTACATCACTGCAGACGTGTACCATTGATGCAACGCTGCTTGAAGATAGTGAGCCCAATGTCTTATTTTATTATTTAGTGTTGGAAATCCCTTCATTCTTAATTATCCTAGTGTCAAACAGTTCAGTCAGTGTCAACAGACTGAATAGTCTTCCCTCTCTATATCGCGGTCCTCTTTTCGCTCCATCAGTACATCGCAGATTTTTTTAAAAATCCGATCTCGCAAAATTTTCGCTATATTGCAAAATATAGCAAATAATAGACATTATAAAATAATTGTACATAACAAACTTTTGGCTGTATCGTTTGACTTCCTAGACGAGATTCCTACACAGCGTTCTATTGGCTAATACAATGCGTACTCGGGGTACTATTGGCTAACTGAGCATGCTCTTCTGTTCCTCACTCTGATTGGCTAATGCATCGTAGCATCTCTCAGCATCTCCCCTTGTCTGTCGGCCACTCTCACGTTAACTTCGCGATTTTTTTTTTCTCCCATTTCACGGTGGGTCTTGGGACGCAACTCCTGCGATAGGAGAGGGATCACTGTCATGTCTTTGGGCAGTGGGCTTCGACCAAAGCAGCATAGGAGTGGAGAACCTCAGGGTGTACCTTCTGTAATCCTCCACTTTTGCCTCATTATTTCCAAGATCTACAATTAGTATTCTAAATCAAATGCCTTCTGGAATTTTTTTTTAAACAAACTCGTTTTAATTAGCAATAAACATTGTGAATTTCACCGCGTCACCACCGCGAGGTATCGCTGGATCAGAGTAAGCAAATGTTACCTCACGACTGGGGAGAGTCGCTCGTTACGATACTACAGCGCTTCAGCGGTGAGGAGTCGTGTGCCCTCCAGACACGGAGGGTGGCTGCTCTAACACACTTTTCATGTCTCCATCACTCTTCTCTGCACGCCGTCTATTCCCCGCGCTCTAATTTCATTTATTCGTTCTCATATCCTGTCTGGCTGCCAACCTCTCTGCGCTCCATTTCTTTCAAGGTCAGGAGTCCCACAGTATTGGGGCAGTGCCCCCTCAGCACTCTTATTCTTGATTAGCTTACCTTGCTATTTCTTTCTCTCTCTCTCACACACACACACACACACAATGTCTTTTATGTCTCCGCCTCATTCAGTCATTTCTCATTTCCTCTTGGAAAAATCACCGCTCGTTTTCGCTCGCTGCACCCTGGCTCTTCAGATATATGTCATTTGTGGCTCATGTGAATCACCCTTCAAGGGGAAACCATATTTTTTTAACCACTAAACTTTTATTTTATTTTATGGTGCATACCTGTGCACCAAGAAC